AGTTACACCCCCGCCATCTTGCAGTGAGCAGGGGTCAGCACCCAGTGGCGGTTCAGGAGCACACCTCCGCAGAACGTGGAGCCCTGGAGGTAGGCCTGCCAGGGCTGGGAGTTGGGCTGGCACGGGTACCCCTCAATGACTTTGTCGCCTCCATCCTGGGCTGTGGCTACAATGTAGGGTGGGAAGCAGGTCAGCAAGGGGCCCTGTGAGCCGGGGGGGCACGTGGAGGGAGAGGGGAGGCCTGGTATTGGGGGTTTTGGGGGAGCATTGTGGGGTCTGGGCTTGGCCATCAAGTCCCAGGTCTCAGAGTTGTGGGAGATGCCCACCTTGGCCCCACTCCTCCATCCACATCCTTCTTGCCATCCCTCCATCCCCGTAGACAGACATGCATCCCTCCATTTCTCCCTCCCTCCATCCATCCATCCTTCCTTCCACCCCATACATATTCTCTATCCAACCAGCTGTCTCCATCCCTTCCTCTCTCCATACATACCCTTCTACCCCTTTAATGCATCTATCCATCCATCTGTTGTCATACATACCCCTCCACTCACCTACCCCATCCATCCATCCCTGTACACACCCCTTCATCCATCCACCCTCTCCCTTTATCCCCATTTACTCTATCCATCCCCTACACCTTATCCCTTCCTTCCCTCCATCCCTCCATCAATCTACCCTGTCCACACACACTCACTCCTTCCATCCTCTACATCCCATCCTTCCTTCCCTACATCCATTCCCTATCAATCCTGCCTTCCCTTCAGTCATCCACCCAACCCCTGCACTGCCTCCATCCATTCATCTCTCTCTCCCTCCCTCTACCCTGGTACACTCCATCCATTCCCCATGCCACACAGAGCAAAGCTCGTCCCTTCCAGCAGGGAGCAGCAGGAACACACGGATGCAGAGAGCCCAGGTGTCCCGGACACAGACACGCTTGCCTTAGTACCTGCAGACGCTAGCAGCAGAGCAAGGCCCAGCAGCTTCATAGCAGTGGTGGATGTGGCAGATATGTGCTCTGGTAGGCAGATAGATAAAAAGGGTCCTGTTAGGGGATTGGCTCTGCTCTCAGCCGCCCTGCTCTAGGGGGGGACGCTTCCTATCTCTCCTTCACACACCCATCTGTCCTTCCTTCCCTTCCTCCCTCTCTCCATTGATTCTTTTCCCAATGCATATCCATCGATCCCTCCATCCACCTCTTCATCACTAACATCCATCCATCCAGTGTTCCCCTTATAACACCCCACATCCTTATGCATGCCTCCATTCTCCCACCCAATATACACCTCTACATTCATCCCTCTATCCCCATCCATTCATCTATCCATCCCTACACAAACCCTTCCTCCATTTCCTGCATGCACTATCCATTCATCCACCCAACCCCTTCTTTCGGTATGGCCTTCCTCATTCACTTCTGCCCTGACCTCAGATGACCTCTGCAAATCCCTTCCAGCCCTGCTTCTCTATGACTATGACCTTGTACGCAGCCATCCACCCTCAAACATTTCCTCCCACCTGTCTCCCCCACCCCTCCCTCCCTTCACCATATCTGCTATGGATCCATCTTGACACTCACCCTTCCAGCCCCAATAGACTCCTTTCCTTCCATCCTTCTACACTGCCTTTCTCCATCTCTTCCTCCCTCACATTCAGATTTCCAAAGCACCTAAGAGACTTAGACACCCCAGTCCCTATACCTGAAACAGGAGGGATATGTTGGAGCTCCTGGAGGTTCACGCCAAGGTCGTCAACCTGTGCCCATAACCTGGTATCTGGCTGGCTTTTAAGATATGAGCCTGAGCGGGTGACGACTTCCTTCCTGGTCTCATCCAATGGTTTGGGGGAACATGGGTAAGTCATAGCAAAGGAATGTGAGCATGACCACTTCTGGGTGGAGCCCGGTAAAGGGTTGACTGGGAAGGGGTGGAGAGGAAGAGGTTGGCGAGTGGGATTGGTGTGGGTGACTGAGGACAGAGCTTAGGTCATGTAGGGGGCACAGATCAGGTGATTAAAGTATGGGTTGGGGGCAGTGTTAGGGGTGTGTATATGCAAGTTCATAGGGTCACACACAGGTTGTGTAGGGGTGGGTGTGAGGGACACCATTACAGCTGTAGGTATCTTGCTAGGATGGGGAGGGAGTGGGGGGGAGAGGGGTAGGAGCCTGGACACCTGGTTCTATGCAAGATCTGGGAGAAGAGCGAGATCCAGTGAGTTTGAGGGAGCTGGGAGCCCAGACGCCTGGGCGCTCTTCCCATTCTGGGAGGGTACTGGGGTCTAGTGGGTTACAGCCTGGATACCTGCTTTGGGACAGACTGGGGATGGTGGGTTACAGGAGGGTGCAGGTTGGGAACCTGGATGCCTGGATTCCTTGCTGTGCTTGGAAGCTATTTATCATCGTCTCCACTCATGAGTCACTGTTCTTTCTGGCACCTGCAGGTTCCCTCCCATCTTGTGTCCTGTGTCCCGGCCTGGGCAGAGAGCCACGTGCCTTCCCAGCTGCACATGGCCCTAGGATGCTGACACAGTAGGAGGAGCACGTGGGCGATGAACCAGCCTGAAGCTCTGCAGGGTGTTGTCTCACGTCTTGTCCCCAGGGATTATCTAGGAGCAAGGCCTCCTCTCCTGCCAGCGTTCCCCTTCGGGGCTCTTGGCTCTGCCCTGCCGGCTTCCTTTGCCCCTTCCCCCACACCAGAGTGACTCTAATGGCCTCCCCTCTCCCACCCTGGGTGGTCTTAATGGACCCCCTGCCTTCTACCCTAGGAGGAATCTTAATGTCCCAAGGTACTGCCCTGGGTGACCTTAGCTCTGCCCTTCTAGCAGAAGTAAGGCCGCAGTCCTTCTCCCCCGCACAGCCATAACTCTGCCCTCACTCACCCGTGTCAACACCACTTGCACATCTCTGCCCTCCGCCCACTCCTGGCTAACCCTTTATCCAACTCCACCCAGACCCAATTACGTTCACACATTTCTTTGCCCTGACTTACCCATGATTCTCCAGGCCACTGGGTGAGGCAGAGAAGGGACGCTGCCACCCTCTTGGGCTTTGGATCTTAAGAGTCGACCAGATGTCGGGAGATGGGCATGAGCTGATGACCTTGGTGTGAACCTCCAGGAGCTCAGACCAATCCCTCCTGTTATAGGTATGGAGGCTGGGGTGTCTAAACCACTTGGGTGCTATGGAAATCTGAATGAGAGGGAGAGAGAGGTGAAGGAAAGCAGTGTGTGGGTTTGAATGGATGGATGCAATGAGTGATTGGGGGCGGAAGAATGCTGATGTGGTTGGAGTGCCTGTCTAAGAAGAGATGCATAAATGGATGGGTGGCCAGGTGGATAGATAGCCCAGGCTCTGAATAAAGGCTGGAGAAGTTATCTGATGGTGGATGGGCATATACAAGGTTGAGTTGGAAGAGGTGAAGGGGGAAAAATGCATGGAGAGGGAAGAGGTGGATGGATGAAGGGTGAGTGCATGGGGAGGGAGTTTAGAAAGTGAAGGGAGCAGAGTTGTTTGAGGAAGTCAAGGGAAAGTTGGATAACAGAGAGATGAATGGAGGGAGAGTACATACAGAAGAATGCATGGTGCTTGTATGGAGAGAGAGAGCTTGAGAGTGCATCAGGGGGATGAATGGGTGGGTGTTTACAGTGAGGGATGGATGGAGGGGGTGTGTGTGGCGGGGAATGGAGGGATGATTGGCTGGAGGGGTGTGCCCAGGGATTCTTACTTTTGCTTGAAGCTTGAAAAGAAAAACAAACCGTGTCCACCTAGTGAACAAAGTAGACCAGTTTAAGGAGGTGGTGGCCACAGATCCTGCTCTTCCAAATGCACCTCAGACCCACCCCTGGATGAACCAGAATGAGTCTGATGAAATCCCTCCCAGGAGGAGCCAGGTGATGAAACCCTGGGGCCACTGGCAACAACCTTTCCAAGTCCTGGATGTAGGACACAGGCCTGGAGGGCTGGAGTGGTGCTGGCACAGTGCCTGCCCCTACAGAGAAGGACTTGGGCTTTACAACCTGGGTGACTGGACTTGAATACCCAGATGCCCTTGGGAATCATCTTTGAATGAGTTCCTGTGTGTGGGAGAAGCACGAAGAAGCCAGCAAGGATTTGAGACCTGACCTTGCCCTGAACTTGGTTTCTTTTGTCCACCATGTGTCTCGCTAGGTGGACAAGGCAAGGTAGAACCTAGACATGGACTTCATGGAGGCTTAGTGTGTGATGGTCTCATGAGTGGGGTGGAGAAGCCAGGGCTGGGTGATATGTACCTGATGGGTACAGGACAATTGCCATCAGAGAGGAACCATATGCAGAAGGATATCGCAGTGATAGGTGGCCTTGGAGGGGTCTCCACTGAGGTCTTTTCTGAATCTGGTGCTAAAGGGCATGTTTATTAATGACTGGAGGTGCTTCATTCGCTCTGGCATTGCAAGAAAGAGGTGGAGAGATTGGAAAGAGCCCAATGGAGAGTGACCAAAGCAATTGGACATCTGGGAAACAGGAGGACAAGCTGGAAGAACTGGGATGATGGAGTCTGGAGAAAGGAAGGCTGGGGGGTGCAAGGGAGGAGCTTTTCATCCTAGTTTTCCAATCCCCAAGGAGGTGTTCTATGAAGGATGGAAATGGACCACAGAGTATGGAAAAAGGAGCAATGGGCTGACATTGCAGCAGTGGGAAACTGAGGCTGGAGATGATGGACTTTCTGGCTCTCAGGGTAGTTCAGTACAGGGACAAGCTGCCAAGAGAAGGGTGGAGTCTCCACCCTTGGAGCAGGTTGGACAGCTTGACTGACTTGCTCTAGGTAGGATTAACCCTTTCTGAGCCAAGGGGTTGGATTAGATTTGACCTTGTGAGGACCCATCCAGCCTGGCTTTCCCATGATTCCCTTATCTGGGTTGCAAGTGACACCAAACTTGCAGAGACAAGGGGAGATGGGAGTAGACCAGAGAAGGGCCTCAAGGGATTGGAGAGCTGGGCTGGAGAGACAGAGTGGAGAAAACTCACCCACCCCAGAGTGGGTGAGGACCAGGAGAGCAAGAGCATCAATGGGGGAGGGCCTGGGGGGTTCTGGCCGGTCACAACCTCCATGTGAGCCAGCATTGGATGCAAGCACCCATCAGACACTGGATCTGAAGACTCTGGAGACATCTTCTAACCCAAGGATGCTAGAAGCAAAGGTCATTTGGGGCTGCATTGACCAGAGTCTGGTCCATGAGATCTGGTTAGGGATGTTACCGCTCAACTCAGCACCAGAGGGCTCTGCTGGGGGGT